TGTCGTGATTGTTCTATTTCATTCGATTTTGGTCACGTTGGAGTTCGCTCACTGCTCGCCTGCTCAGCATGTTCACGTAGCAAGCTCGGAACCTCATTGCCGTGCCTGCCTTGTGCGAGTGTGTGAGTCGGAAACCCTAAACCCTAAACCCTAAAACCCTAAAACCCTAAACCCTTGGGAAGCTTCCGGCTTCTTCTTGCTAGCTTGCTGGCGAGACGTGAAAAACGGGGCTACGTATGCTTAAACTGTCAGCAACTCAGCCGGGCTGCTGGCTGCAGAGAAGCTTAGGGTGTAGGGTTTTAGGATTCTAGGGTTTAGGGTGCTAGGATTTTAGGATTTAGGGTTTAGGCTTTCTCTCCTTGACTGAGGGTTTGGGGTTCACTGCAGTGTGGAGCCTTAATAGCTTGCATGACTACCCACTGGAATTATTGTAGTCTCTGCAGATCATCAAATCATGATATAAGGCCCAAATCGCGTGTTCTATGCCCCTTGGCCAAATCCTTGCACAATCCGTATGAAGCGCTACAAAACCCTGTTCCCTCCCCTAAAAAGTCTAAGTAAGTCCTATCAAATCATTTCAAGGCCGGCATCCTGGTTCCACTGCAGCTTGAAATGACGGGAATGTAGAACAGCAGTAGCCGTAGCAGGAGCAGCTGCAGCAGCAGCTGCTGCTGTCGTGTCACCAAAGAGCGGCAATGTCATAGTCGCCCAAACCCTAGCAGAGCAAACTAAGCCGTAAGCCATCGGAAACCCAGGTTAAAGATCCAAAACCGTTATCAGATGAGAATCATGCATCTTGGTATCTTCACCCCTATGCCGTAGATCAGAATCTCTCAACTGCCTTAGGCCCTAAGCCCCACCTTGAACCCGAAACCCTCCGCCCTCACGCCAGGATCGCACTGAGCCTCGGCATCCGCCTCGAGCGCGCTTCCTCAAATAGGCCGGTGTATGGTTTGGGGTTATTGTCAACGTTAGGGGATGTTCGGCGTCCTTGTGCTTTTAGGGGTTTGGCTTTCTCATATCTTGAAAGGGCCCCGATCCCTTGTTCTTTGCTACCTGACAGGGACCAAGATTACGGCAGTTGAATTCCGTGGCTTGGGCGGCGCCCGAACCTGGGTTTCGAGTTTGATTGTAAGTCGCTTGTGATATATATATATATATGTATATATATATATATATATATTTATTTATTTGTTTATTTATTTATATACACACACATTCGTACATGACAGCACAATGATATGGGGAATGCACAGGGGTATTGACATTACTGGCTACGACCTGTCTCCGAAATGGCATCACTATGTGTCTAGTGGCACATGCAATAGTCGCGACGTGCCATATGCTTCACTGTGCAGCGCCCCAATTGCTCGGTACTCAGAAGTATTCAGGCCACTCGGAGCACCCGGGCATGTGCCTGTAACTTTGTGTTAAGCGTGATGGTCCCATCCCACATGTGAACAAGACAGACTGAACCCTCACCCGAAGTCGCCGTGACAGTGATCAACAACCCTGTGAAGTCAAACCTTCCCTCTGCCACAAAAGCTCAATGCCGTAACGGTACTACGCACACACGTTCGAGCTCCAACTTATCCGGACGTTGTGAAGGCCGAAAGAGAACAAGAAGTCGTCCTTGATCCGGGCATCGAAGGACTATGTGAGCCAAGCAGCAATGTGAGTTCGATCTCGTGTCATTCTTTCAGCTGTTAAAGGCAACCTTTCATTCCTGAACTCTAGGGTCACTTTAGGGTTTAGGGTTGTGTGCGAGGGGAGAACTCCTCGAGTTTACGGTGTCATGCTATGTAGGGGCCTGAATATTTTTTGGAATAGGGTTTTGAAAGCAAAACTGACTATAGTTATTTACCTGCTGCAGATGACGGGAAATACGGCATTGCTCGTCCACTTTGCTTATGGTAAGAGCTTCGGCAATATGTAGCGATGTCCATCTCTTCGCAACGGAACAAGCTGTTCCAAGTTCACGTCTGATATAGAAGCCAAAATAATTCCCAACATTACTGCTAGGGCTCCTTATTAAAATAATACTAGAAAGGAGCTCAAAACCCTTTCCTAATTATTGAGGCCCCTACATTAGTTGTACTTCATCTTCGGCCTTCCTTTCAACGACAGGCCTTCAAAGGGCCTATAGTCACAGCGTGAAGATGTCCGCCATTGTAACTAACAGGGCTCGAAAGTTCCCTGCTGGCTAGAAAGCCTGCCATAAGCCTCGGTCTGGGGCTTGGGAGCCTTGTAAATTGCAAGTGGCCTGGAGTTTGCATTGGGGGAGCTTTCTTCGTGTGCTGGTTGTCGCGGCTTCGTACTTGCCGCGCAATTCCTAGCCTCCCGTCGAAGTCACGGTGCATTCGAATTTCGTGCATGAGACAAGACAGCGGTTCTGTGCGCATGCATGTTTAGGTGCACTGACGTAAGTTTCCTAGAACCCTAAACTCTACACCCTAAGCCCTAATCCCACCACCCAGGCGGTTTCCTGAGTTCCTGAGATCCTACCGAGGGAAAGCGGAAGATATCATCGGATGGCTCCTTGCCGATGATGATGGGAGCCGAGGGTTTAGGTCTTAAGCCAGCAAGCCCAGCATCAAAAAGGATTATAGGGCTTAGCGGCTATAGGGCTTAGGGTAATGGGGTTGAGAGTGTAGAGGCTGAAAGTAGTTGCACCTGTCCGTAGGGTTCAGGGTCGTTCGTCGCAAGTCTGCTGCGCATCTGAATGCAAAACCATGTACTAGAGATTCACCCGCAGTGTCCTGCGTCCGAGAATATTGTGTTCATTGATGGTATTCTTCCAGATACCTAGCTCAATGTTGCGAGGCATGGGAAGTAAGGGCAGCAGTGGAGTCCCTTGTGAAACAAGCAGATGGTATTCTTAGGTGGTTCTGGTGAGTACGGCCTTTGTTTCCCGAAGCCCTTGCAAGACTCGGGTAAGCTCGGCCCTAGCTTCCCGGAGCCTTCCGGTGAGTCTGGTAAGCAAAGCTTGTGATGTAAGGGCCGACCAACATTATTTTCCTTATTATAATTCTGTTGTGTTCTATAGTATACTGGGCCCCAAAACCCTATTCTAATTATTAAGGCCCTTATATTAACTAAAGGCTGCGCAGCCAAGGCAAGCCACATCTGAGTGTCCTGAAATAGCTATCTTTTCGAACAAGCTGTATTTACAAGGTAGGCACCCCCCCGAGCATTTTTCTAGAAGGCCTCCCACCCCCCCTGCTGCCGGAAGCACATGCCACCACATCGATCGTGCAGCAGACATGATTTCCAAGAGTTCCACTCATGCTACTCTTGCTTAAGCAGTATCAGGAGTATGCCAACGCTTTCGTTCTCTTTCGGATGCAGGTTTCTCCTGGCCCCAAACTCCGCACCAGCGTCACGCAGAACTTGCCACTGCTTTTCGATCACTCCCACTGCTTGTTCCATCATGGACAAGCCGCTTTCGTGAGGTTCTAGATGTGGCGACTAAATTCAGTATTGCCTCGTGCGTCTAACCAACCCTATCCAGCTTATTTCTCAACATAGCCCCGGTAAGCCCTAAACCCAAAAGAACCCTAAGCCCCACCAAAAGGTGATGAGCTACAGACGACTCTCTCCGCACCCGACGACACGGCCTCGCAAGTGTCGGACGCGTTCGACGAAACAGGCTTCCCCGCATGCATTTCCACCCAGCAGGCATGGGTTGGGGGTTCCAGGTTCAGCAAGACGAAGGAGAAAACGCCAAATGCAAAATCTGAACCCGTCCAGACCTTGTTTTGGACAGAGAAGGCCGGTCCCCACCTCGATGCAGAAAGAGCTGGGGGCGGCACGGTCTAGAAACACCAAGTTTAGGGTCCAGGGTTGTTACTGGTTGGGTTCAAGACCAGAAGCCCTGAAATACTCCACCCTACGCCTCGAAGCGATGAAGCCGTTGGCTGCTTCAAACCCTTTAATGATCGTTGCGCGAGAACCCCGAAGCAGCGCGTGCGGAGACATAGATGTAGAGTTAGAGTAGAGTGCTGGTCTATTGCATGATGCCATTGTTGTTTATGGCATGACAAGGCTGAGTGCATGTCTTCTGGAGCTTGAATGAAGTCCATCAGAGGCAGGATGCAGGTGTGTAACTCTGCGCCCCTAGCCCTTTCCCAAGACAGACCGTAAGTGATACGGATCGTCATGATTCTTACTTGTTTCGCCATTAGTATTCTTACATCTTCTTACTATTCTTAATGTCATTATTTTCGACATGAGATTCGTTGCAAGGTGGCTTTTTGGCAGGGTTTAGGGTTTAGGTTTGACTAAGCCACAACTCCGAGCTCAGTCTTGCGGTTTGGTGTCTTGCCATGTAATTTGGTGCATTCGGGCATCGCGGGTGGTTTGAACCACGTAGTTTCATTCCGGATACCGACTGAGTACTGATCAACTGCCGTTTCCAATGCATGAGTTATCCATTTGATGATTTGTCAGGGCCCCTGACTTACACAAACCCCATCAGATCCGACAGAAAGTGCTTTAAGAACAAAATAGATAGCTTCGAGCTACCCCCCTCTCAAGCCTTGATTTGAGAACCAATCCTAAGATTCCTGAAGGCTCCCTGGGCTTCAATACTGTGCGGCAGTCGATGCGCAAGGAGCATGGCGAGCATGGGATCGGATTTCTCAAAAGATGTTTGGGAAGACGCCGAACAGTAGGTGGAAGTGGGAGAGCGAAGGAAGTGTGCTAAAGACTGTTCCTGGCATTCTATATCCTGTCTGCACCTTGACTCGACACAGTAGACTGATAATGCAGTAGAACCTACCAACGTCGGGAAGGGCTGGAGGTAAGGCCGAAACTTCACCCACAGTCCCCGCGGTTCAGGATACAGTTCGCCAATTTCTCTCATTATCCTGACTGCTAGAAACAGGAGCGCTGCTTCAGACACCATGGAGCAAGTAGCTTGACTTTCGCGCTGGCAGCGTGATCGACCAGTTTCGTGCATGGTTGCATACAGGGTGTTCGGGCAATGTGCGGATGTCTGAAGCTTCGCATAGACTGTATAACCATCTATGCATCTGCATGCTGCATGGCCCAATCCTCGACGATCGAGCTCCCTAATCCTAAACCCTAAACTAAACCACTGCCCGTGAACCCTAAACCCTACCGCGCATACATCCTGAATCTGAACCCTGGTGAGGATTCACCGGTCCTCTTCCATGCGCAGTCCACGCAAGATTTGGAGCAGGCTCGGCCTTAGAGAACCGAAGCCTCGCAGCATGATTTCTCCGGTTTATCTCTTATACAATACAGAGAGAGATGCACATATATATATATATGTATACATGTTTGTTGTGCTTTGTGTACTTTGTTATTTAATATTTAGATGGGTCAGATCGTGCGTTCCTTCCAAACTCACCCTGAACCCATAAGTGACCTCCACAGGGCCCCAGCACTTGCCTCAGTATTCACGATGTGATTACGTAATGCAGGGTGTCTATATATATATATATAAATATCTGTGTGTGTGTGTGTATTTTTATGTGTATATATATATATATGTATATGTACATATATTTATTTATTTAGGTACAAGATGTATTACATATTATAAATGCGTATATATATATATATAACCACATTCAGTACCCTTTCAGAGGCCCGGGCTTTACAGACCCTTGCTGAATCCCGATGTTGCGCTGCCAGCTGTATGCCACATCTGAGGGCAGACTCCGCAACCGTCGTAGGAAGAATAGAGGTACTCTACAAACCTTGAGTGGCTCTGCATACTTGCACAGCCCGCTAGGATCCTTTGAAAATCTTGTGTGCAGTGCTTGTCGTGGTCCTTGAAAGGGACATTTCAAAGCCAAGTCGCCTCGAAAGGGTCGTCGGGATGTTCAGCAACCCAATTACCTTGGAAACCCAAACCCTGAAACTCCTTGTGGTATACAATAGACAGTATGCAATATCAAATATGTAATATAGCGTATAAACATATGATATGTATATACAGATATATATATATATATATGTGTGTGTGTGTGTAGATACAAGGTGTATTACGAATATAAAGCACGTAACACGTGTTATGTTGAATATGTGTGAAATGAGCCCGAGTCAGGTGGCTCCCCACGGGGTGAACACCTTGGATTTCTCGAGCTTCAAAGACTCTTGCCAGCTTTGCGTTGAGGGAAACCGGGTTTAGAGTTTAGGAGTTAGGCAGCTTGGGGAGCGGACTGTCAGGTTTGATGCAGCTGGTGAGGGTTATCCACGCAGAGGAGCGGAAAACAAATTTAACTAAAGAGGAGCGGAAAACAAATTTAATTGAAGGATTTAAACCGCCTCCTTCCGATGTGTTGGGTTCGTTGTGGATTAGGTTGCTGACGAGCTCCATAATTGCACGCGCTGTCTAAGTTTGTTGTCACAGCCGCGATTCGGGTGAACAGTCCCCGCAGAACCCCAATGTGCTATTATTTCATTTCTTGTACATCGTTGGTAGCATCTTTGTTTGAATCTGCTGGTAATCCAAAGTCACAAGCGTCCTGAGCGGGCACTGTTTCTGATATGTATATTTAATTTGCTCTCGGTTAAGCATAACCGCTCTGACTCGGCTTTCATGAGTGCGCCTTTCATCCTGAGCATCTGTTAAGAATGCTTCAGTCATCAGCAAACCACCTGCGCTTGTGAACAAATGTTGGAGTCGACAGACAAACTATCATCATCTGCCCTCTGCTTCTTTTCATGCTTGGTAAGGGCGCAAACATCTGCAAAGCTATTAGAGAAGTCTCAGAACCTATGCTTGCGCCTCCTGCTTTCCCACAATTTGTTACCTGAAGCGATTAATGCGGACACACAGCCAATGCTCGACATCTATGCCGGCAATCCCTCCTGCCGGTTGAGATGGAGTACCAGAAGCTGTACAACAATTGTGCACTCCGTTTTGTTTTCAAGAGCCTCGCATATCAGTAGAAACGCAAAATCAGGGTATCAGTTGCCGTGCATGACAAACAGCACGAGTAGGTCGCCGGCTTGTTGGGACTCGGATCTTCAGTGTCTTTCTCATCGGTCTTTCAAGTCCTTTACCGCCGGTGGTAGCACATTCTGGCCGCCCTTGATGCAGGCAGCGCGGTGTCCTGACTTGCACCGACATGATACGTGTTTGGAGGCTTTCAGGGGAGCAAGTGGCGCAAGTGGACATGCAGAAATTCCCCGCCGTGAGGACTGGGGAAGGTTTGAAGCGCCACTTACGTCTGCTCTACGGGTTCCCAATATGCCAGCAAGAGCTCTTCAAGGAGAGCTATCGGCTGAGTGGTTCTATGGAGCTGACTGCTCCCTGTGATGTGCAGCTGTCGCTGTGGCCTTGGAACCAGCAAGAGGTTGCAGACGAGCTCACTGGCGAATTTTCCAAGGGCAATGTTGAGAACGTGCGTTCGCTGTTGACGGCTCGCGCTGACATGGACCTGACTGCCGCCTGCAGGACTGCTCTCATGAGCGACTCCCACGACATTGAGCTCGTGAGGCTCCTTCTTGAAGCCCGCTCTGGTGATGATGTTTCCGGGTCTCACGACTACAACACAGCACTCATGCTTGCAGCGGAAAGCGGCCATGCTGCGCTTGCGCGCTTGCTTGTAGACGCTCGAGCAAACATGGACTTACCTGCGAAGTGGCGCCTCAAAACTGCTCTTATGCTGGCATCGGAGCTTAACCACGTGGAAGTTGTGCGGTTACTCGTGGAAGCCCGTGCTGACATGGATGCGGCTGCCAAGCACAAGACTGCTCTCGTGATAGCGTCCGAGTTTGGCCACATGGAGGTTTTGCGATTGCTTGTGGAAGCCCGTGCTAACATGGATGCGACTGCGGGGTTCAAAACAGCTCTCATAAGTGCATCTGAGCTTGGCCACATCGAGGCTGTGCGGTTGCTTGTTAAAGCACGTGCGGACATGAAATCGCAGCACTGCGGCAAGACAGCTCTCATGTATGCGCGTGAAAGCGGTCACACGGAGATTGGGCAATTGCTGGTTGAATCCGGTGCTAAAGTGTAGTGCAGTTTGATGGCGTCCACAAAGGTGCGACAGCTTGAATGAATGAAGCCGGTCTCCGCGAGCGCTCGTGCGATCCTGGAAAAGCGTTCGGAATGGATGAGGCTTGGAAGGTCGTATTGGTAGGTAGGTGTGAGTGTGACTTGTTGTTGTGGCTGAGGGCTGCATTGGAAATCCAACTGCTGATTGTGTACACATTCTACACCATATCCGATATGCACTCCGTCCCTAAGCCCTGAAACTCTGCACCCTGATTCCATCTCCTCCATGTAACCCATCCACCTTCAAGCCAAAAGCCCAAACCCAGAAACCCTGACTGGAAGCCAAGGATTTGTACAAGAAGCATCGAATCTCGCAGAACGAGGCGAGTTCTTGCTTGGCCCTCATAAGGGGAGTATTAGTGTTTAGGGTTTGGGGCGTTCTGGTTCTTATCACTCTTATGAGAGTTCTCGTGAGGGTTCCATAGGCAGGCGTTTCGGGGTTCAGGGGTTTAAGGGCGTTCGGTTTCTCTTAGTTGCTTTGCATTCAAAAGTTAATTCGAAGGTTTAGGGGGAACTGGGCTTGTCTTATGGGTTGAGGGGCTGACGGCTCCCTGAACGAAACGGTTGCGCTTGAAGGGCATAGTTTTTGAGGCTGCAGGAGCGTGCTGGGTAAGGAGTGTAATGTAGAGAAGCTCTGCAGATGCTTGTGACTGATGTGAGGAATCATCGCTCGAGATGTGACGCGTAGTAGCGCCAGTTCGGACTTCGTTCGGATTAGGCTTATACCCTAAATGCTCATAGGTTGGCAGGTTGGGATAGCGGATAGCATTTTAAGTTCAAAACGTGTTGGGTTTGGCATGCAAGGAGCAGCTAGTTCCAGCTGCTGGGGGGATGAAGGGCAGAGAAAGGAGCCGATCTCCGGGGTGTGTGTGGAAGAATTGTATGCAGCCCCTGGGGCCCTGGAGTCGACACCCGAAGCCAAAAGCCTCAACCCTCGCCTGATAGACGGCTTCTCCGAGTTGTGAGAGCGTAAACCCTCACGAAAAACCGTATAGTCTCTGGCCTGCACCTGCTCTCACCAAGCGCAGGACAGCGTCCCACTGCTCGAAGGCAAGGAGAGCTCCGCTGGCGCTTTGGCTGCAAGAAGGGAAAGGGCAGTTGACAAAGCTCAGGTCCCATTTTGGAGTCCCCAACCTTCATTGAAAAAGTCTGGACCCCAGAACGAACCCCTAAATGAGCGAGCCAGTGGGGTCTTGCAGTTGAAGACCGCGTTTCAACTTGTTTCCAAGAGTGACAGGTTTCAGTGATCATCATAGATCCGTTTTTGTTACGGTTGTTCTGCGAATGCTTGCCGGAATCAGAGTTTTCTGTAGCGTGTTTCGGTTGCGCTTTCTTCCTGACAGCGTCATACTTGAGTACTCGTAGCACCTGCAATGCCGAAACAGTACAGGTATCACTTAGAAGCAAAATCAAGAGCTCCATAGTGGACCGAAATACAGATGATTCCGAGAGTGGCAGAGACGATAAACATCTGCAAGGGGGAGTGCGGAGTATGAGACGAGACGAGAATGGTACGCGATGACAATGGCAGTTGGACAAACGTTGGTTCAGTTTTGTTGGAGAAAAGGTAACCCAACAGAACTACGTAGTAGTAGTAGTAGTAGTAGTAGTAGTAGTAGTAGTAGCGGTGGTGGTGGTGGTGGTGGTGGTAGTGGTAGTAGTAGTAG